GTCCACTCCACCATGTAGCCATCGCTCTAGATTCCTGTCATGACAGAAATATTAATCACATATCTCTTTTAAACAGTTTTCTCCCTTCTCTGTTTCAGAGCAGCATACATTATTGAACCCATCTTACTCAGTCTTTCCCCAACCCCAAGGACAGTCCCATTCTACAACAGTGGCACCATGCAATATTTTTTCCAACACTTACATTTTTATAAACCTTTTGTATGTTTTATAGGATTCTTTAAAGAAGCAATTTAGAATAATTTGTACTTATAAAGTTTTTAACATCAATTGAATTTTTTAAGTGCACTTTCTGTATAAAGTGATTTATGTAAAATTTACTCAGTGGAATTATTGGCATCCTAACTCAAAAGAAGCAGTGTGTCTTTTAAAAGATTATCTTACCTGTGGGGAGTATAACAATGAAAGAATTTTTTTTTCTTTTCAAAGAGAAAATGCAAACTGAGGTGGGAATGGACAGGGAGGAAAATGTGCAACAATGAATGAATGGGAAAAAATTAAATGGGAAGAATATGCTGTAAAAAATATATGTTACATTAAAAAAAAAAGATTGTCTTACCCAAGTGAAAGCTCAGTAAATGCCAATCCTAGCTTTCTAAGACACTCACACGCAAAAGATAATCACAGAAATTCACCAGTTTATAAGGCTCACATAAAAGAAGAAATACCTCTTTTTAAAGTATGCAGTAATACTTTGGTACGGTAACCTAAATTAATAAAAATTAAATAATTATTAAATGTATTAACTTTCCAGATTCTCAACTGGGAGATATTCTTCAGACCTTTTGACTAAAACTGAATGTTATAAGCAAAAACAATATCCAAACCTAGTACACATGGGAGCCGAGTTTGTTTCAGAGTGCTCACTGAGATTCTGAATCATTTCATAACAAGAATCCCAAAGTAGTATCCCAGTAAAGAGAAGAGTATGCTTATTTAGTTAAGGTGTGAAGCTCTTAGGTTGAAACTTTTGGTTTCATTCTTTCTGAACTAAATTCATTATTCTGTCTGAAGACCTAGTATTTTTACTTTAGATCTTAAACATTAGTCTCTTAAATTGGAAAATACCTTAAATTGGTTACTGATATATTTTTTAAAGCTTTAGTATATTAGTTAAAATAGGTATATTATTTAGAATTTAATTTGGAAACTTTTCCATTAACTGCACAGAAAAATCAGTAATGATCATTCATTTTCTGTCTTTCTCCTAGTAAGCCCATGTCAAGCATTATGATAGAAGATTGAACAGGGACCATACGTTTAGACATATAGCATCCAGGTGTCAGTGATAGAAGTGCTGCCTTATTCCTAGATGTGGCCTTCCAAATCATCTCCCTAAGTACTACTTGCTAATAATTGGTCCATAATTTTATGCAAGAGTCCCTTTCCTACTTCTGGTTTCTAGTAATAAGTAGGAGTCCTTATCCTAATGCACGCAACTTTAATGGCTGCCCCAATGAAAAAGATAGGTCAATAAATAACTCTTACATATCCACAATAAACTTGTAAACTGCTTGGAAAGATGAGTGAAAAAAGAAACTGCAAAATGCAAGGAGAGCAGCAAATGATCCAAAAGGTCTTATCTATTATGTCTTTGGGAGTCTGGGAAGATGGATATGCACAGAAGGCTCGGGCCACCACTGAAACTCTGAGTCTTCGACCGCCTGGAGCCACTGCTGGTAAGGCACCGTTGGATCCTTCCATTTTTTGCCCAAGAAATACTCAGTAATAAAACTCAGCCTGAAAATTGAAGAGATATTTCTTGACAATGCAATTAACTTAGGTTGGGGAGAATAAGACAGACCGATAGAGGAAGACAGACTGTTTCCCTGGGGTACAGCAGCAGGGGTTCATGAAGGTAAAAACCATTGTTTTGTACATGCACTTTGTGTTTTATACAATCATTGGTATGTTGTTGTTTTTATGTGCCATCAAGTCGCTTGCGACTCATAGCAACCCTATGTACAACAGCCCTAAACTTGGCTCTGTCCTGTGCCAATCACACTGTCTCTGACATTCCCATCCTAATTACCCCAGTCACTGAAGCAATCCACCTCATAGAGGGCCTTCTCCTCCTACGCTGTCCCTCCACACTACCAAGCATGATGTCCCTCTCCAAGGACTGGTCTCTCCTTACAACATGTCCAAAGTATGTCAGACAAAGCCTCAGAATCCTTGCCTCCAAGGCGCCTCCCAGTTTAACCCTCTCCAGGATGAATCTGCTTGTTTTCCTAGCAGTCCATGGTAC